CCCCGTCTCTACTGAAAATACAAAAATTAGCCAGGTGCGATGGCGGGCACCTGTAGTCCCAGCTACTAAGGAGGCTGAGGCAGGAGAATGGCGCGAATCTGGGAGGCAGAGCTTGCAGTGAGCTGAGACTGCACTACTGCACTCCAGCCTGGGCGACAGAGTAAGACTCCGTCTTAAAAAAAAAAAAAAACAAAAAAAACTGTCCCATTACTGTTCTATTTTGATTCACTTTAAAAGATGAGTAAACTGAGATTAGCACAGTTAAACACTTCTCAACTAGTAAGTGGAAGAGGAAGGACTAGGAACCCTGGAAGTTTGACTCCAGCGGCAACAATCTCAACCAGTATCTTAGTCTTTATCAGATGCAATGAACTGAATGGTTGGCAAATGTTTTTACAAATATTAAATATTTTAGGCTTTTCAGGCCATCTGATCTCAACTATTCAGTTCTACACTTGTAGTGTAAAAACAGCCATCGAAGATAAACAACCAAATGAGTGTGGCTGTATTTATGGACACACTGCATTTGAACTTCATATATATATTTTAATAGCCTTTATTTTAAAAGTTTTAGATTCACAGCAAAATTGAGCAGAAAATACAGAGATTTCCCATATATGCTGTGCCCCCGCACATTCAGTCTCTCCCACTATCAATATTCCAATCAGAGAGGTATATTTATTATAATCAATGAGCCCACATTGACATATTACCACCCAACATCCATAATTAATATATTAGGGCTCACTCTCAGTGGATTTCATATAATTTTCACATATCACATTGTGATTGGTTTTTTATTCAACCCTTTAAAAATGTAAAAAATCATTCTTAGATATTGAGCTATACAAAAACCAACAATTGGTTGGATTTAACCCAATGGCCTTAGTTTGCCCATCCATGGTCTCTGAACAATGGCCAAACTGGGAATTCCATTTGTAAATTAAAAGGTTCCTGGATCCACCTTTCTACTTTGCCAGATGAGGATGATTTTCCAAGTTTTGTTTCTTCATTCCCACCTTTTAAAAGAAACTAACTCTGAGAGTTGGGAAATGTTTATGAAAAGTATATCTGTATGTGGGAAATCAAGTTCTGAAATGCCAAGTTAATTTGGTAGAGTCAGAAGACAGGGATGGAAGCTGTTCTCCTCTAAAGGGAAGCAATCTAGTGTCAAGGTTCTCAGAATAGGCCCTGGAGCCCAATGGGCTGACTTTTTGAGACCCAGCTTTGGCACTTAAGCTATCTAACCTTTTTGACTTTCACTTTCCTCATCTGCAAAATGAGAACGCCAATAATACCTACTTTTTGAGTTGTTGTATCGAATCAAATAGTCCAGGGCATCATCAGTATAGTAAGAGCTCAGTATATATCAAAGTTCATGACAAATGCTAGTGAGTAAGAACATATTTTTTATAACAGAGTGCATTCCAATTTTGTACCCATAAAGATGAAGCACATCGTGATTCGGCTTTGCCGAGCATATTAGAATTCAAGTTCAACTCACAATACTTATTTCACCAGTTACCAGTTTAATGCCAATTGAATGGGTTGAATGCTGCAGACTCCATTTCAGTAATGTGGTTTTTAATCTTACCTCTGAACACTATACTTTCCCTAGAAAGATTTTAACCTCAAGCTTATCCCTACTTTCTTTTGAATACCCAGCAGGTACTTAAATTTGAAATCCTCTTTGCAAACTTTCCTTCTATGTTATTTCGTGTTTACACCTTTATTATACTGACCCACTCAATCATGAAACAAATTGTAACTAGGCCATATTAAACCTACTTCAAATCCATTTTCAGCCACCTGAAATATAATCGGATCTGTTTTGAAAATGTTTGGATCTTTGGTCATGGGTGATTAATGACTTAAGCCTTCTAGGAAAATAATGCCACCAAAGAAATAACTTATACTTTATTTACATGCATTTGTTTTGAGAAGAGGAACTGTGGTTTGCATTTGGCAACTTTTCAAAATTTTTTGTCATGCCATCTCTTGATAGTAGCAGAAACTGGAGTACATTCCTCTTAGTATGTTAGAAGCCTAATTTACATGAAAGATTATATTACTGGGTGTTCCCTCATTGTCCAATAAGTTCAAAAAGTGAGATCAGTTAGGTAAAAGGTTCTGTTCTCAAATGTGCCTATATTCGGGAAATTTTTCATATTCCCTATAGGGAAATCAGAGTCAAATGAGGCTATCTTTTTAAGTACTTGATTCTGCTTCCCTATCCCTATCTCTCTACAACTTGGGGAATCAAAGAAAAAAAAAACTTTTTAAATAAATATTTGGTATAATAACATCTGAATAAGTAAAGGCAAATTGTCAAGATCCTGAAATCAGTAAAAGTCAAATAATTTGTAAAATCAAAACCATTTAGTTTAGAAAAGGAACATTAACTCCTGTTAAATCCCAGGAATAATGGTGTGGTCAAAAAGGTAGATACTATCCTCTCTTGAGACCTGTTGGATAAAAACAGACAGGAAAAATAGCACACATAAATTCATCTCAAGAATGGTCTTACTGTAAGAGTTCAGGCTAGGTTCGAATCTCTTCAACATTTATTAACTGGGTGACCTTGGGCAAATGACAACAACTTTCTGGTGTTCTTATATGTAATTTGTAGCTAATAGTACCAGTACATTATGTGGTTTGTAGAGGTTTCATTCAGAAACTGGATGAGAAACATTGAATGCTTAGCATGTGTCTGATACTTAGTATACCTAGTAGGTATTCAACATTAGCTATTATTATTTTATGATTATTTCAGTGTAGCAGGGAAGGCTTTTCATAGTTTTCACAAAGACAGCACATTCCCAGAAACCAAATTCCCCTACCTGCCAGTGCCGTAAACACGTGGCATAAATTCGTGGTGTCCCACGCAAGGCTAAGAACTGGTTATCTGGGGTGGTCTCTGCCTGTTTCCAGCCAAATCAGAAAAATAAGAACACCTTAATTAAAGGTATGTAGTTTGAAGACCTGTTCTTTATTCTTAGGCTGCACTTTTTTGGATGTGAAATTCTTTGATGCAACAGTGGTCAAGGTTAAATAGGATTTCTCGTAAAGTGTTAGGCAAAAGTTAAAGTTGGCAAGCCTACTGTGGGCCCTGAAATTCGTGAAAACCCCAACAAACAGAATTGACCTCAAACCCCTCTTTCCTTCAAATACAACGCAGGCCGAACGGACCCACCCGGTGGCTGTGAGAGACGTCCCGCGAGGGACCTCCGGGAACGCACGAGACCGGACCAGGATTGGCGGCGGCAGCAGCAAGGAGGCGGGGCCTAGACGGGGCCTGCCCCTCGCACGTGATCCTACCCGCCAACTAGCTCCGGCGCCCGGAGCGTCAGCCAATCCTCAAAGCTTTGGAAGCGCCTGCCCGGCAGTGCGGCTGAGCCAATGGGCGGCCGCCTTACAGGCTCTTGGTGATCGGGATTCGCGGGTGCTGCCGGCTCTGGTGGCTGACGAAAGAGGAACCGGTAGTGATTGGCTGTGGGACCCGGCACCCGGCTCCGCACCGGCGAGGAAATCCGCCGGAAACCACTAGGGCCAAGCTTGCTGGGGTAGGCGCGCAGCCGCAGAGGTGGTCCGCTGCTGGCAGCCGGGGCGCTGGTGGCCACCGAAGGTGGGCGGCAGGAGGCCTTTGTGAAGTCAGGCGGCTCCAGGTCGTCCTCCGGGTGCGGTCCCTACACCGCCTGCGTCACCTGGCGCGAGGGGCTCATTTCAGATATAGACTTCGTGGCCCACCCCAGCCTGCTGAATCGGAAATGCTGCGTTGAGCCATAGGTGATTATTATGCACCCTTAAATTTAAGAATTAGTCATTCGGAGGTTTCTCTCAATGGCGAACTTGAAAATAAGTTCAGGAAAGCAGACAATTGGGGCGGACCGACAGCCCTGATTCCGATGGTAAGAGCAGTGCGCTGGGTGTGATCTTTCTGCCACCACCTTAAGGCCTCACTTAAACTCGGGACCTTCGTTGCATCATCTGTAGAATGAAATGATGCTCTTCGACCTACCTTCTCGTGGTGGTGATGTGATGATAAAAATTGAATAGTGAGAAACCCAGTGGGCTATGAAAATGTGTGGAAGATGGCATTACTATTTCTCAGTGGGGTTCTTATTACTTATCAACCCTATAGGCGGAATTGACTGATGCAGCCTACACAGTATTTAATTACATAAGTGGTACACCACGTATGTGCCCAGCATGGGATTTGATAGGAAGGATTTGAAGGGGTTAGAGACTGGGAGACCAGCTAGGAATCTGCCCAGCCACCCACCTTTGTGGTAATGTGCGTCTGGTCTTCAGTGCCAGCAATAGAGAGAATGTGAAATTAACTTGATGATGGAAATGAAAGAAGGAATTGAAAGCTTCTCAAGTAAGAAACCAGAAGACAAGTAACGAGAGAGCATCTCTTGAAATCACACAACAGGGTAACCGAGTGGAAATTTCCTGTGAGCAGTTATAAAGTTAGATTGTGGAGTGGCGCCACCCGTGGCTCATGCCTGTAATCCCAACACTGGGAGGCTGAGGCGCACGGATCACCTGAGGTCGGGAGTTTGAGACCACCCTGACCAACATGGAGAAACCCTGTCTCTACTAAAAATATAAAAAATTAGCCAGGTGTGGTGGTGCATGCCTGTAATCCCAGCTACTTGGGAGGCTGAGGCAGGAGAATCGCTTAAACTAAGGAGGCGGAGGTTGCGGTGAGCCAAGATCAGGCCATTGCACTCCAGCCTGGTCAACAAGAGTGAAACTCGGTCTCAAAAAAAAAAAAAAGTTTGAAGTCCAGATTTTGCTAAAGATGATAATTTGGGGCTTTTCAGCATGGACTATGGTAGAACCCTCAGAGTCGTTTTAGCATGTTGAGACAGGAAATGCATTTTCATTTCTGTAGCGGGGCCTTAAGGAGACCCCACCATTAGGCTGTCGATGTCACATCAGAGAAGATGATCCCATGCAACCTAAACCCTTGGTAAAATAAAAGCATGCTATTATTCATATTAGTGAAGGAAAACATCAGACATAGCTTTATTGCTGACTCCTGCCCCCTTCAGAGCCCATAGTCACAGGCCTCAGGGCTGTTCTGTAAGTAAAGCTCTAGGAAACCTTGCCAGTCCTTCCCACTAATGAGCAGGGCTGAGACTGTGGGATCTTCCTTCATGGCTGCCATCCACAGTTTAAGTTTTGGAGTGTGGTCTGCACACCTGTGGGAAGAGGAAAAAATGAAAGGTGTGCGCTAGGTCAACTAGGATGACATCACAGAGTCTCCCAAATGTCATTATTACTCTGCAGTTTCATTTTTTCCCCTTAAATATTTCATTAAAAATATTTTAAAATGCATGTAATAGAATATTCAATTTGAAAGACATTATAGAGGTTCCTTTTTTACCCAAGAGGAATGAGACTAGAGTGAAGCGACTTGTTAATGTGAGAACTTGCCCAAAGAGAGAAACTGACAATTTATTAAAATGAGAACAGGCAATACAATCAGGAATGTTCTATGTTAATTAGTCTACACCCAGATTATGACCAAAAGTAACCCTGAATAGCTCTAATGTCCAAGAAGCGGGAGTAAGGCAAGGTGGCTGCCAAACTCAAAACAGAATTTGGAAAATAATGTGGAAATCTTACTGGTAAATGGGAGGTAACACTGATCATACAATCTGGCAACAACATCCTTATAAAAATTTACAACCTTATGGATTTTTTTTTTTTTTTTTTTTTTGGATACAGAGTGTTGCTCTTGCCCAGGCTGGAGTTCAGTGACATGACCTCGGCTCACTGCAACCGCCTCCCGGGTTCAAGTGATTCTCCTGCCTCAGCTTCTCGAGTAGCTGAGATTACAGGTGTGCACCACAATGCCCAGCTAATTTTTGTATTTTTAGTAGAGATGGGGTTTCACCACATTGGCCAGGCTGGTCTCCAACTCCTGACCTCAGATGATCCACCCAGCTTGGCCTCCCAAAGTGCTGGGCTTACAGGCATAAGCCACCGTACCCTTCCCCTTATGGATTTGTAATCAGGAAGGAAGGAGTAAATTTTAAAGCACTTTACTACATGTCACAGAAATCCCTGCCTCCTCCCAGTGATGGAGAGTAGTTAGTGTAGGTATATGACATGCCCTGGATAGTCCAAGACTCCCGACTGCTTGTTCTCATTCAGACCAGTTGTATTACATATTTTAACTTCTGTTAAAAAGAAAGGTCAATATATACTATGCCAACTGTCATCCTAGATTATGCACAAAATATTCAAATATCTTACTCATATAACTTCATTGCTTCCAGCCGTTCAAACCAGGGCCAGATGAGATAATCAATCATAGAGATAGAATTGCCACCAAAGAACGTCGTCTTCTTATTAGTCAGAACCTGAACATTAAACAGCATAAAAGTATTTATTATTTGTGCATGTAGTAAGACTCACTAGAAACGCTGAAGGGAAATTAAGTAGAGCAGGTGAGAGAAGCCGTTTTTACTCCAATGTATCCAAGTTGGGTTTTCGTCTGTTTGATCAAAAAACTTAATTAAGCTTTAGAATCTGTTGGTCTGGGATGAAGCAAAACAATTGCAACATAAACTGGAAAACTGCAAAATAAAACAAGTCACAGAGTACAACATATCTGTAATACAAAGGACTGGTATTCAGAATATAGAAAGGATTCCTGGGAATCAGTAAGAAAAATGGCAAATAACCCATTAGAAAAATGAGCAAGACTTGATCTTCACAAAAGATGATGTCCAAATGACCAATTATCATTTGGAAAGGTGTTCAACTGCATTAGTCATTAGGGAAATGCAAATTAAAACCAAAATACAATAACACTATACATCCATGAGAATGCCTAAAATGAACAAAATGAAGTTGGCAAGGGTATGGAACCACTGTCATAGAGGTGTAAATTGGTACAACCATGTTTTAAGAGTATGCATACTCTTATCACTGAGCAATTCTACTTGGAAATGTAACACATGTTCACCAAAAGATATGTATATGAATGTTCACTGCAGCACTATTTGTAATAGCCCAAATGTGAAAATGCTTATTATCAAGAGTAGAATGGGTAAACTATAATATACTATACTTTGGAACACTGTATAAACAATAGGAAAGAACTACACACAGCATAGATGAACCCACAAATCTAATATTGAATGAAAGCAGGCAGACCCAAAAAGATGAACATTATATGAGTTCATTTGCATAAACTACAAAAAAGCCCAAACTAATATTTTGTTAGTTGATATGAGTGCTGGTTCCATGACTATGTTCACTTTGTGAAAATGTGTATGTTCTTATGCTTTGGGTACTTCCCTGTGTCAAAAATTAAAAATACTAACTTTTCAATATAAAATGCACAGTCTGCAGCTTATGATGGTTCAGTTTAAATTCTTTTCAACTTTACAATGGTGCAAAAGCAAGCATTCAGTAGAAACTGTACTTTGAATTTCGCTCTTTTCCTGGGCTATCGATTTGCAGTATGATACTCTTGATGCTGGGCAGCCACACCATCAGGAGAGTAAACAACCAATGCTCTAATGTGTGCTGTGTTGCCAGCATCTTTTGAATATGGATATTCAATAAATTATATGAAATATTCAACACTTTATAAATAGGTTTTATGTTTGATGATTTTGCCTAATTGCAGGCTAATGGAAGTTTTCTGAGCACATTTAAAGCAGGCTAGGCTGAGCTATGATGCTCTGTAGGTTGGGTTTATTAAATGCATTTTCCACTTACGATATTTTCAACTTATGATGGGTTTATTGGATGTAACCCCATTGTAAGTGCAAAAGCATTTGTACTTAAAATATACTGGAAATAGATTGTATTAGCTACTAAACAGATGACAATCATTTGAAAACCAAACACAAATTGTATGTTTCTGAAATTTTAAGAAGGTGAATTGGTTACAGGGTTTGCCAAAGGGAGTGATTGAGAATATTATCTGGCTATTTAAACCAACACCAAACTAATTTGTCCTTTATAAATAACCTCCATAGTTTTTTTCAATGCATAGTATGCATTTTAGATTGCATATATCTACCGATTGTGTTCCGTCTACTGCTGAACTAATTATCTGAAGAATATGGACTGCATCTTACTTTCCAGCTCCCACACTGTTCAGCAGAAAAAAATAAAAGTACCAACATTGATTCCAGAAGAAATGTAAAACCGAAAAACCAATTACCATTAAAGAAATCAAACTAGTAATGAAAAATCTACCCCTGTTAAAGACACCAGGCTCAAATGTTTTAAAGAAACACTAGTCCCTACCAAATGGTTTCAGAGATTAGAAAAACAGCTTAGTTACCCAACTCATTTTATGAGGTCAGAATATCCTTGATACCAAAAGCCAATAATGATACTATAAGAATAGAAAATTATAGGCCAATCTCATTTATGAACACACATACAAAACTCATTTATTAGCTAATTCTACAGTACATATTAAAATCCATAGAGAACAAGTAGGTTTTATCTTAGGAATGCTAGGATGGTTAAACATTAAAAAAAAAAAAAAAAAAATCTGTCAGTAGCACCATATTCACCAGATTAACAGGAAAAAATTCTATGAACATTTCAATAGATGTAAAAGACGCAGAAAAAGCATTCAATAAAATTCAACATTTATGACTTTTTAAAAAATTAGCAAACTAGTAATAGAAGAGAACTTTATAATGAAAAAAAAGGTTTCTGAAAAACCTACAGCAAACGTCATATTACTGATAAGATGTTAAATGCATTCCCATAAAAGACGGGAACTATATCTTCTGTCAGCAAAAACTTCAGGCTTAGCATGAATGAAATATCTCAAGGCCAAGAGACAGACTCCAAGGTCCAAATGTCAGCTTTCCCCAAAAGAAGGTAAAATATATCTGGGCTTCCCTCAAGTGTCTGTACTGTTCATTGCAAACTTTTTCTGGTGGGAAGTATTTAGTATGTAATACTAAGTGGACACAGGACACAGAAAAAATAGCAGAACACAGAATGATATCTATGCTCTGATTAGAGCTACATTAATTTTTAAAAAATATATGGACAAGGACTGCAAACAAGCATGGAAAACTGGATACATAAAAGCTTGTGGAAATGTGGGTACAATTTCCTTTTTCCTTGTTACTTTAATGTTAACACAGCAGAATATTTTAAAGCAAGCCCATGACAAAGTATTTTTAGGTGTTTTGATGTATATCTTAAGCAGAACAGCTTTCTGCTTTATAACAGCAGTCTGCTGTAAACAAAAATGTTTAGGGGAATTTTCCTAATTGCCAAAAAGTGACTTGGGAAGTGGGAATATGAAGAAAAGAATAGGAGGAAAAGGAGGGTAGGTATAGTTATCATTTACTCTGATGGTAGCTAGGAGAAATGATTACCTCCTCTAGCTTGGTAAATTCTTTACGAAATTCTTCTTTTAGGCCAGCATAGTCTTCTTTATTTTGGCTTCTAATAAAGCTTCCTACCAAGGATGGCACCTAGAAAGAGAATAATTTCTTAGTTTATCAGTTTATGGCTAACTATATCGGCCCCCTCACATAAAAACATGACAGAACCCTCATAGTCCTGGTGTCAAGGTGTTCTAGAAACATCAAGGGTGCACCAAGTTCCTGTGCTCACAGAGGCAACGGACTGATCTTAGGAACAGTTTTGTGGCCTAAAATGCTGGGTTGGTCAGGATTTTATCAGTTATAAATAACAGAACCTACTTTGGCATGTTTAAGAAACTACTTTCTTTCCTTTTTTTTTGAAACGGAGTCATGCTGTGTCACCCAGGCTGGAATGCAGTGGCACGATCTCAGCTCACTGCAACCTCCACCACCCAGGCTCAGCAATTCTCCTGTCTCTGCCTCCTTAGTAGCTGAGATTATGGGCATGTGCCACTACGCCCAGCTAATTTTTGTATTTTTAGTACAGCAGATGGTGATTCGCCATACTGGCCAGGCTGGTGTCGAACTCCTGACCTCAGGTGATCCATCTGCCTCAGTCTCCCAAAGTGCTGGGATTACAGGCTTGAGCCACCACACCCGGCCAACACAACTTTCTTTAAAGGAGATTAAGTGGCTTATAGAATTATTGGGAGGCTGAACAAACAGGCTTGTAATTAAGACAGAACATCCCAAATTCATGCTGAGAACTGGCCTCATGGGAAGCGCCCACTGATGCTAGTGCAAGCTGAGCATTAGATGCTTCAGTTTGTGCGGCTGCCAGAAAGTAGAGTCTGAGATAACCGCTAATGCCACTGGCACTGATGCCATTTCTACTCGAGAATTTTATTTTGTAACCCACACTGCTGAAACCTAGAAGCTCTGCCGCCACTCTCACCAGCAGAACCAGTGGAGAACTGAATATCTTAAACAGATATCCCACCAAGTCTGTTTCCTCACCTTGCTCGTTTCTGAATTGAGCTCTATTGTGTGTGTCTGACAGGAAAAGCCTAGGTCACAAAACTTGGCCCCAACTGCAAAGAGCTAGGGTAGAGAATTTTTCTGATTTCTTTGTTGGGGAGGACGCCAGGAGACTGTCCAAAAGGGACTGACTACCTAAAGACTTGACGGGTGTAGCATCAGATGCTTTAATGCTCGTGATGGTGTTTGTGTGTTTTAGTACTTTGGTCTTTGGTGTCATTTCATTGCAAGATGCAGAAGTCCACTCATCCTAGTTTAAGTAAACAGGCACTTGTAAAAATATAGAATCCCATGAAATCCCATCCACATCAGTTCAGCCTGCCCTGGGACTGAAGGCTTTCAGGCAGCCCTTTCATCCACATTTCCATCTGGGTCTACCTGGTCTTTCATCTGTTTTTCCTTACATTTCTGCTCCATATTACTTTATGTACTTCAGTCCCTTTGCAATGCTTTTAATTTTTGCTTTTCTAAAAAATTATTTCTTAAGTGGCTTTGGTTTTCCTAGCCTCTAATGTTATATTTGAGCCCCAACGCTTAGTTGTCTTTACTGTCCTAACCTTTACTGTCTTAGTCTCTGTGTCTCATTTCCAAGTTCCCAGGAGAGAAGGTGACTGGCCCAGGTGTGGGGGTGGGGTACGTTTCTGTTCTGATGGGCTGTGGCCAGGAGAGCAGGGTCATATGTACATAAGGCCACCTCTCCCTTAAAAGCAAGTGGGGAAGTAAAGATGGGCATCTTCAGCATTCCTTCTAAAGCTCATTTTCTTTCTAGATAGTACAATGAATCTCTTGTGACTACTTTTTAAAGTAGTAGCTTTATGCATGAAAGTAAAACTTCATGCCTAAAAGCTTTACTTTTAAAGCTCATTTTCTCTGACGTGTCCTACAAGTCCTTTCACAATCCAGTTCCTGTTTACCTCTCCAAAGTTACCCATTTTATCTCTTCTCCTGATACTTTATATTCCAGCCATACTAAAAAAAGTTTTCTAGAACTGGCACCAGACCAAAGAGATTTTTCTTAAAGAACCACTTAGGCTTATGTTTTTTGGTTGATATTGATGACTTCATGTCTTGAAGCTGCATGCCTTTAACTTGTTACTACTTTGTAAAACTCTCCAACATCTTTCTTGAAAATGTCATGTTCCCTTTCATTATCTTTCACAGCAGCCACCTCTACTATTCTTTCACCCTCATCTTACTAAGCAGGTGACTCACTCTTCCTTTCCCGTTGGCTTCCCTTTGTAATGTCTCCTAAAACGGAATGTTTTCCCTATAACTCTTTCTTAGGGCATTTCTTTAACCATCTTTTTCTCTAAAGATAATCCTTTATACACTGACCATACTACCAAGGTGACAATATTATAGGCATATAACCAGACATGCTATTCTTGGTGTCTAAACACACATCTGTTAGTTATTTCTTTGTTAATATTAATTGTTTGTGCTAATCCACAATGTTGATGCTAAGTAAGGTACAAACAGTTCTCCAGGAATGCCATTTATTCAGTCATCTGAGTAGCTGCTCGCTGCTTGATGCTATGGCTATAAGGACAAGAACTAAGTAGTTACTGTGTCAGACTCTGCTCCAGGTGTTTTATATTAACTGATTTTTATCTTATGAGGTGGGAACAATTACTATATCCATTTTACCAATGATGAACGGAGAGGCAAAGTAATAAGTAACTTGCTCAGAGTCACAAGGAAATAGCAGAGCCAGTCACAAAACTAGGCAGCGAACTAATAGTGATCAAAACACAGCCCTCACCCTCAAGGAGCTCACAACCCCAGTGCAATACACAGGCAAGAAGACAGGCAAAAGTTCACACAGATGGGAACTCAGAAGCTAGAGCACTAACCAGCCTGACAAGCTCCTGAAAGGCAGCAGTGTCTGAACAGACATGGGAAAAATGATGTGGAGATAACCAGGCACGGTGAGAAGTGGGAAGAATCTGACAGCAAGAATTGAGAGAGAAAGGGGCGAATTTGGGAATTCTGAGAAAAGTTTAGTATGGCTGGCATATATAAAGTGTCAGGAGAAGAGTGAAAAGGGATAATTTTGGAGGTAAACAGGAACTGGATCGTGAAAGGACTTGCAGGACACTCAGAGCTGACAAGTATATTCCTGTTTTGTTTTTCTCTCCCAAATCACTGAACTATAAATGGCAGCACAGATTTCGCTTTAAAAAACAGGTTTTTCAAATAGGAGCTGAAATTTCTTATGCACAAACCTTAGAAAACAACTCTAAGATCATCTTCTGGCAAGCTTTCTCATAGGGGTCATCCGGCAACAGCTTCTTCCCTGGGTATGCTTCATCCAGGTACTCACAGGTGATGGGAGACTCATAGATCAGCTGACCCTGACTGTTTTCCAGAACTGGCACCAGACCAAAGGGATTTTTCTTAAAGAACCACTCAGGCTTATTTTTCAGGTTGATATTGATGACTTCATGCCTGAAAGACACATAGGAGACTATGAAGAGAGGGAAACCACGTTTGTGCTTTTGGATAAATCCTCTTTGCCATCCACTTAGCTGATCAAACCCCAAATTTAGGAGTCTGCCTAGATTCCTTCCATTCTAGTTTTTGATTTTATGAATTTGACTACTTTCGATACACCTTTTAAGTATAATCATGCAGTATTTGTCTTTCTGTGTCTGGCTTATTTTACTTAGCATAATGTCTGCAAGGTCCATCCATGTTGTCACGTATTGCAGAATTTCCTTCCTTTTTAGGTGGAATAGCATTACCACATTTTCTTTATCCAGTCATCTGCTGATGGACATTGACATTATGCTGTTATGAACAGTGCTGCAGTCTACATGAGAGTGCTAATATCTCTTTGAGAACTTGATTTCATTTAATTTGGATATATACCCAGTAGCGAGACTGCTGAATCATATGGTAGTTCTATTTTTAATTTTTTGAAGAAAATCTATACTGTTTTCCATAGCAGCTGTACCATTTTACATTCCCGCCAACAGTGCGAACGGTGTGCAAGGGTTCTGATTTCTACACATCCTTGCTAATACTTTTTGTCTTTTTTAATTATAGTCATCTTGACAAGTGTGAGGTTATTATGTGATTTTGATTTGCATTTTCCTGATGATTAGTGATAAGCACTTTTTCATATATGTGTTGCCCATTTTTATGTCCTCTTTGAAGAAATGTCTATTTTTTTAATTTTTAATTTTTTTTTTACACTCTGTCTCCCAGGCTGGAGTGCAGTGGCTTGATCACAGCTCACTGCAGCCTCAACCTCCTGGGCTAAAGCGGTCCTCCTACTTCCCGAGTAGTTGGGACCACAGGCGTGCACCACCACACCCAGCTAATTTTTTTGTAGAGACAGGATCCTGCCGTGTTGCCAAGACTGGTCTTGAACTCCTGGGCTCAAGTGATCTGCCTGCCTTGGGGTTATAGGCGTGAGCTACCATGCCCAGCCTGAGAAATGTCTGTTTAAGATCTTAGCCCATGTTAAAATCAGGTTTTTTCGTTGTTGAGTTGTAGAGATTCCTTATGTATTTTGGAGATTAACCCCTTACCAGATATGTGGTTTGCAAGTACTTTCTCCTATTCCATAGGTTGCCTTTTTGCTCTGTTAATCGTTTCCTTTGCTGTGTGGAAGCTTTTTTGTTTGATGTACTCCCATGTGTTTATTTTTGGTCTTGTTGCCCAGTCTTTGGTGTCATGTCCAGGAAATCATTGCCAAGGCCAGTGTCATGAAGCTTTTCCCCTACGTTTCTTCTACACATTGGCCTTTTTTATATTGCTTGAATTTGCCAAATGTGTTTCCACCTTAGAGTCTTTGCACCTGATGGTCCTCTGCCGCCTCTGCCTGCCTTTTCCTAGGTCTTCCCAGGTCAAACACACATCCCCAGGCCGTCCCTGACCACAGCTCTGAAGTTGCTGAGCAGCTTCTATTACATGATTATCATGTTTTACTTTCTTCATTGAATTGATAATGTGTATCTGAAATTACTTTGCTCACTTATTTACAAGTTTATTAAGTTATCTTCCTAGAATGTAAGCTCCACGAAAGGTGAGATCTTGTGTATCTGCTCATAGTAATAAACAAACATGTAAGTGAGCAAAATGCTAAATAGATATAAATACTCTGAAGAAAATAAAAAGTTTCAGATAAGGACTCAGTAAATATTTTTGTTTTGAAATATTTCATATGAATGAATGAATGTATCAGTGGAAATGCTTCAAAATTGTCAATAAGATACTCCATTTATGGCTAAGAGGTATCTTAGTTATAAATCATACGAGGCAACTAATTGAATTGTGTCCACTACCCACTATATGAGAACCAACATAAAATTCAATTTATTTTGCTAATTTGAGTAAAAAGTTTCTTGGTTTTTACAAAGATATTAAAGAATCCTTAAAATCCACCCACAAGACCAGGTGTGATAGCTCAATCTGTAATCCCAGAACTTTGGGAGGCTGAAGTGGGCAGATTGCTTAAACCCAGGAGTTCAAGACCAGCCTGGGCAACATGGTGAAACCCTATCTCTACAAAAAATATAAAAACTAGCCAAGTGTGGTGGCACTCACCTGTAATCCCAGCTACTCAGGATGCTGAGGTGAGAAGATTGCTTGAGCCCTGAAGGCAGAGGTTGCAGTGAGCCATGATTGCACCACTGCATTCTAGCCTGGGTGACAGGGTGAGACCCTGTCTCGAAAAAAAAAAAACCAACAATCCACCCACAAAAAAAGCTTTCAGATTAAATCTCCATGCACTGATTTTTAAAAAGCATGTTGTCTGAGTAAATCGTACAAAGTAAACCAAAAAGGAAGAAAACAGGTGAAGTCCAGGCTATAGTCAGATTATATTTAGGTCTATCTTGTATGTTGCCTGAGACGGTAGAGGAACTAAGAGTTCATATGATCGTCAAGGCTGAATAAATATTCAATAGAACAAATTACTAAAAAAAAAAATAGACACCAATACTTTTTGTTTTCTATTTTTCCATCCACAGCTGTAGCTAGAACAGCGTTTCATTTAAGGATTTAAATACATAATCCCCCATGGAAACAAAGGAACATCCAATTTGAACATGAGCACAGGTGTGTGTATAATTTAAAAGGTTCATGTGCTGACAGAATACTGGACACTTAGGTACCAGCCATTGCAAAAAAAAAAAAAAAAAATTACTTGGCTGCTTGCCAAAGAATTACCAACATTTTTGAACTATGAAACAAACAAAAACTTTTGTTACTATGAAAACAAAAGGCAGATCCTGGGCTTTTGTTCTTAAAAAAAAAAAAAGTATCTCGGAACACACATGCATTTTGGTAACCTGGCATCGTGAGCCAACAAGTCTATACACCTGCCACAGCAAGTTGGAAGGTGCATCTTTTAGAGAAAACCATGCTTTGTTAAGTATATAATGTGGTTAGAATCTAGTACTTTCCCAGTAAAAGCCTCCTAGGGGCTCCAGCTTAAAACTGGTCTATTAATGTAGTAGACCTTTGTTGTTTGCACTGCCTGGAAGCTGTTAACCACCCTCTTCCTCCCTTCTACCCACACTATTATGGGAAGATAGTTCCAATGTTCCTTTGGAAAACTGCCCCAGTAAATAAGGTAGGGTTGTTTCAGACTAAAGGTCCAGGGTGAAGCACATAACCCAGGACTTTGTGCCTCTGAATCCAGCTGTGTCATGCTCCTGGACTTTTCAATTAAATGAGTACCAAAAAAGGTCTTTTTCAATTTCGATTAAATTAGATTTCTCTTAGTACAATAAAAGAGTTCTATTACAGCAAATATGACAGTGTTTTTGATAAACATTACTAAGTAGTAAGTATTCTGTGTTCAGAATCATAATCTCATCCAAATGAGAGGCATTTCTTAGTGAAGTAATGACAAATCCCCTTCAAATGTATTTTTTAAATGCATTTTACCTTTCTTTTAGGGAAAATAATTGCCTACTCCTAAAGATTCTCCCCTTAGAAAACTAAAATTAGTTCACAGACACAAAACACACAGAAAATTTCTTAAGAATGGGGGTTGTGTTTTGAACTTCCACTGAGCCTTCCACACCACAGGTATCTAATAAATGTCTAATCAACAGACATTCAAAGGTCATGGGAAAGGAAGTGGTTCCAATGGATACTTGGTGTCAGAGAAAAGTGAAGTGACTGTTGCACATGTCCTGTGGATAGCCCGTAAGTCAAAAACTACGCTAGTTTCAAAACAGGCTCTGCAGAAGGATAAGCTAGACAGACACTTCCCTCTGTTTGACTCAACCAACAGCCCAATCCACAGGAATATGTGCAGTAAACTCAGCACTACTCTAGGAGGGTCAGGGTCTAAATTCTGCTGTACTGGGGTAAATTACTATTCCAGGAGGGAACAATACATTCAGAATAACAACTAACAGTTGAGCTGGAATAAGAATGGGGAATCACAGTAGGGCGAAAGCAAAAGGACTCTGGACCAGGAATTTGCCACCTACCAAAGCTGAAAGAGCTGCTGCCGGTTATTACCCGGGCAAATCACTAACATCACTGGAGCCTCAGCTTTTCTAATCCATTAAATGGTTGGTTAATCTAAATGAGGTGTCCCAGACCTGGAGTCTTGTCCTAGACCGTTGGAATCTGTGGCCTATTTTTCCTAGGGGAAGGGTCTATACCTTGCTGTCTCCCAAAGGGCGGAGAATAATGTGCAGTAAAGGACGCTGGCAGGAGGCGAGTAGAAGGGGGCTGAGACCCCACCCCACCCCGCCGCCTGCAGCAAGCTCCCGGACAGCTCGGGGAGCGTCCCCCGCCTAGGTGCCCACCTGATCCCCTTGGCCTTCAGGACCAGAAGCGTCCTCTCAGCAAACGGGCAGAACCTCATGCTGTAGACGCGGATCGAGCCCTCCGGTACCGGCCCCGGGGGCGCGCTTCCTGCCGGGGAGAAGCGAAGGCGATTACGGCCCAGAGAGGTGTCGAGACCCCCAGTATCCCACGGCCCCCGCGTCCCACTGCAGCTCCGACCAGTTCCCCGCCGGTGGGGCGCTCCCGGGAGGCTGGGCTCCCGAAGCAGCCTCGAACATGCCGCCGGGGGTCGCCGAGATCACCCCTCTTCGCGGCGGGCAGGCCTCACCCTTCCCCAGGCTCCTGGCAGACTCCCGGGACATCGTGGCGCAGCGCAGGCCGAGCTCCTCTGGCGTTTGCAGGCGATTCAGGAAGTAGGTCGCCCGTCCTTCCCGCCCTCCTTCCCTCCCCGCTTCCTCCCTGGCTCAAAAGTGCCTGCCCCGGGCGGCCGCCAGCTCCACCCGGTGTGCCTTCCCGGCTTTATGGGATAGCTCTTAAAATAGCTTAAGGGGCTGTGTCAAAGCATCTCGCTGGCCAAGAGATGCACTCACAGGGAGATGCACAAAAGTTCTAAATGCTCAGAGTCATCCCTCCGCCCCCGAACGAAGGGGCCTCCACTCCGCCCTCCATGGGGCCCCACGTCTGACGCTGGCCCTGACCTCCCTCCTGTGGCACTGACCTCGAAGCGCCACCCGCTCCGTACCAAGGCTTCACGGCTTCGGAGCCTGTGGCCCGAACTCATGGCTCACTCACCGGTCCAGAGCATTCTCTCCAAAGGCTCCTGTTAGCTTGTGAAGGGAAAATAAAAATCTCCGGACCCCAAAATTACTATGCCAAAGGGAAGAGTCAAGCTTGGAAACTGAGTCAGGCAACACTGCCTCCCATTTTGTTCCTAAATAGATAGCTACTAAGATCAAAAGCCACACACCTCCCCAAGGGGCTTGTTTACAAGGAAATTCCTTGTGGGCCCCCAAGATCTTTACTCTAAAACAGATCAGTTGAATCTCATCCTGGCAATGTAAACTAACGGCTTATCTTCCCAAGTACGGGACAAAGACAGGTCTAGGAGTCATCCTTCCTCTCGCTCGAGAAAAATGCATATTTGACTGCTTCCTCTACCCTATATTTAATCTTGTAAAAATGCAGATTCACCAAGCACTAGCATAACTGACTATTCCTCTACGACCTCCTTTCACGAATGTAACATGTGCTTTCAGTGAATGCTGATCAAAGGCCCCAAAGAATGCAACTACTTGCCCCTTTTAGCTACCTTCCCTTTTTTCTTTCTTTCCACTTTCCCCTACTGCCTGCTCTTTCCCCTTTAAATATTGAAGTCCTCAAGCCCTCTTTGGAAAGAGCACAGATCACAGATGTTCCTGTGATTTTGTGTTACTTTTTCTCAGATGTGTCCTCAACCTTGGCAAAATAAACCTCTAAAAGGACTGAGACTCACCTTGGTCGTTTCCTTTGACTTACAAGCTCATCTATGCCTTGCTGCAGGGTTGCCCAGCCACCTGGACAGGCTTTTCCTTTTTCTGTCAGTACTAGCTTAACGTGACTACTGGGAGGGCCTCTGTCCCTACTGTCACCTGTAGGATGCATCCTTTTCATTTTAACCCACAGGAGACAGCACAAGCCTGGATATCATCAACCTCAGAATAATGGTGCTGCTTTCAAAACTCTCCCACTTACTAAACATTTGTGTTTGAAGCCCTGGTAATGTAACTGAGTACTCCCATTTTTCTAAGAGATAGAGGATGAGTTATGTTTTACATTATTTGTTTCTCCCATCTTTTCTCTTTTCTCCTTTCTCCCTGTTCACCACTTCCTACTTAGCTCTTTAGAAATGCGATTATCATCTTTGACCTTCCCTTCACTGACACTCCGTACAGGGCAAGCTTATCTAACTGGGTGTTTACTTAAAAGCTCCAGAGCAGGACTCTCACCCACCAGGAGACTGCCTCCAGAGATAACAGTCAATTTACATCCAAAAGTCCACTTTACAAATGACTTCTGCCTATAATGGCACCACCCAGTAGATAAAGCACCACAGTGAGTCCTGCAAACTCCCACCCACTCGCTCCCTCCCCAGCATGCAGTTCATACCAACTCCCCGCTTTAAAAGCCCCTGCTTTCTGCCCCAGAAGCGAAGTGGTACCCTTAAGGCAGGAAGCCTGTTGTTATTCCCGTAAGCCAGCTTTGGAATGAAAAATCACTTTCTTTATACCAGACTTTGCTTTTCTTATTAATAATTGGACTCTGCAAGTGGCAAGCAGCTGAACCTGCATTTCAGTTAAATAAGGGCACAGGCTCAGAATCAAGCAGGTGGGATGAATGAATTTAGTCTTGGGTCTGAGAATAAAGGTCTGGCCAGAGAGTCCTCTCAAACAGCTCTTTTAACTTAGGGGTCAGGAAAGAGGGGTTCCAGGGCCATCATACAGATGAGGAAAAAGACTATTCAGTGATTTCCCTGTTTGCCTAGATTCGAAAGCTGGTAACTCCTGTGCCATTTATTGGGGTGGGATGAGGGTAGGTGTCTATCTTTATTTTGATTAGCCCTATTACAGGAGGAGCAGAGAATGAGGTGAACAGCACCAAGTCTTGCAGCAGCCCGCCTGTTTTGATCCTGGCTCCACCCCTGTGTTCAGTTGCTAGGACTAGGGTAACAAAGTACTGCAGAGTGGCTTAAACAACAGAAGTGTGTTGCCTCAGTTCTAGAGGCTACAAGTCCAAGACGAAGGTGTCAGCAAGGTTGCTGCCTTCTGAGGAGGGAGTCTGTGAGGGAGTCTGTTCCATGCCTCTCTCCCAGCTTCTGGTGGTTTGAGGGAATCTTTGATGTCCCTTGGAGTGCAGAAGCACCACCCACCCCATCTGTGCCTTCATCTTCATTCACACTCCATTGTGATCTCATTTTAATTTAGTTACATCTCGTTCCAAATAAGGTCACATACTGGGGTACTGGGGATTAGGACATCAATGTATGAAACTGGGGGGAGCACAATTCAACCCGTAACAACCACTTATTAACTGTGAACATGGGCAAGTCAGTAACCTCAGTGTGTTTCAGTTCTCTCACCTGTAAAATAAGGTGGAAAACATGTTATGCCTCCTGTGTAGATGTTACGGGAAAGGGGTCCTGATCCAGACCCGAGAGAGGGTTCTTGGATCTCACGTAAGAAAGAATTCAGAGCGAGTCCACCGTGCAAAACAAAAACGTTTATTAAGAAAATAAAGTGGTGAAAAACAGCCGCTCCATAGGCGGAGTAGGGTGTTCCCGAAAGTAAGAGAATGAAGGTGCCCACCCCAGGTACAACGCCTGTATACATAGGATGAAAAAAAGATCATGGGGAGATGTGCTCTGCTACAAGGGTTTGTGATAAAGGATTAATTTTCGTAATTACTATGTTTTGCAAGAATCAATATTATTATTTTTAAAGCAAAATTAGGAATGCTCTTGTTCTCAAGATATCAGGATATCTGGACACTCCCAAGTCTGGATCTGTTTAGTAAACATTATCAATCTGTTCCCTTAACCATAAACATCTAGAGGCTAGGAATACCTTTCTGGGAATGCGGCTCAGCAAGTCCCAGCCTCATCTTCCTAGCCCTCACTCAAGATGGAGTCGCTCTGGTTCAAACGTCTCTGACATAGAGTTTGTGACAGGATTAAATTAGTTACTATACAGAAAGCACTTAGAGCAGCACTTGGCATAGAGTATGTTAAATAAATGTGATCACTACATATTTTTATTTAATTTAGTAAATAGGCAAGAAATGGATATAAAGTTTTAAAAATTGACCATGTTTTTGCTAAAATGTGGGCACTGCTTAACTCTTTTTAAGGAAATTGACTTTTTAGCACATTAATGATTTCATGCAAATAACCTTGTAAATTTAAACTTGGCAAGGCAAAACCTCTGAATGGCCAAACAAAAAAATTTCACATCAAGGTATTACTTTAAAAGTTTTACTTGGAATGACCTGTCCCGTAATTTAGTATGAATAATGTAGTGTTTTGTTGTAATGATTTGAAAGATCCACCTCATCAATAGATAAAGTAAAAGGTTAATTCCTCAAAGAAAGAAATTGAAAATATACTCTCCCAGTGAACTACTGTACTATGTTGCTGGTGTGCATTACAAAAGATCCTCTCCAAGTCCTTTGTGGTTGTGTAAACATCTGAATATACACTTGAGGAAAGAAAACAACTTTCATCTGAGGAATGTGAGCCATTTCAAATTATTAGGCCCAAAGAGACATTAAAATGAGACAGCAATCATGCCCCACTCCCCGCTTTGAGCTGTGTATTCACCTCTTGAAACTGCTTGTTATAGCCACAAGTAGCTATAAATTAACCTAATAATGCCACAGCAAACACTATAGCCCACAGCCTATAGGTTAACAATGTGTAGCCAGCTGCTAATCAATGTTGTTTTTGTAAAGCAATGAGAATTCCTGACAGACAACTATGTGCCAGCCCACTCTCTGAAGCCCCTTTTTTTTCCTTTAGAAATCCACTTGTAACTGCTGCTAATGAGAGTGTCTATTCAGAGCAACTTGAACCTATACTCCTGGGTTGCAACCCTCAACCTTGGCTCAGATTACCTCTCTGCATTAATTTTGCTTCACCCTCTTCCTTTTACATTGACACACTGCTCATAGCCACAGTTAAAAGGAAACAATACGTGCATTTTTACAACTACAGTTCTTAATAATCAACCTAAGAGACGAATCTGAGAGGATTCTGCTGGCTCAAGATCAAGAGTTCATGCCACTGCATTCCAGCTTGGGCAACAGAGTGAGTGAGACGCTGTCTCCAAAAAAAAAAAAAAAAAGAAAAAGAAAGAAAGAAGCTTGAATAGAAAAAAGATTGAGGGGATATTAAAAGCCCATTGAGAGAAGAATGGATAAATAAATTGTGTCATATTCATATAATGGACATCTACCCAACAATGAATACAAATAGTGTACAGCTATAGTTACCAACTTAAATCCCTCTCAAAAACATGATATTGAGCCAGAAAAGCAAGTCATGATAATATATATGGTATGACTCTACATGTGTTAACTTTAAAAACATGCAAAGTGAAACAGCACATTAGTTATGGCTCATGCATACATGGTAGAATTGAAAAGCAGGGAACAATAATCACAGAATTCAGGATGGTAGTTACATACAGAGGAAAGGAAGGGAGTAGAAAAGGGTGGGTGCACGATGTAGGGGAGTGCTTCCACGGTATTGGTTCTCTTCTGTTTCTTCAGCTGGAAGGTGGCTCTAGAGAATGGCATTGAGATGTGAAAGGATCAGGTGGGAAGAAATGAGGTGGTGACTGTTGTCATTTGAAAAGCTTTCTATACTCTTTGAGTTTTTACTATTAATATATGCTATATTGGGAAAAATTAAGATTTAAGAAACTTTTTTTAAAGAACGGGGGGAAACCCCTACTGTTAAAAGGGATAAAGTAGATTCATATATACTGATGCAGAAACATGCCAGAGATATACTATTAAATCAAAATGTTGTAAAGCAGCATACAGGAGATAATCTCATCTGTTGAATGTACACATCTTGCCAAGTATCTCCTAAATGTTCTACCCCAAAAGTCTTTAATCCTCACAACAATCCTAAGATGTAAGTACTGTTAACATTACCATCTCAGGGATAGGGAAACTGGGGGGCAGAGGTTAAGTGATTTTCTCCAAATCAATACACTTTTGTATGGTGGAGATGGGTTGTCAACTCTGGTCTTGTGTCTGGAATTTATTCCTTTTGATGGGTTCTTGGTCTCGCTGACTTCAAGATGAAGCTGCGGACCCTCGCGGTCAGTGAGTATTACAGTTCTTAAAGATGGTGTGTCCGGAGTTTGTTCTTTCAGATGCTCAGATGTGTCTGGAGTTTCTTCCTTCCAGTGAGTTTGTGGTCTCACTGACTTCAGGAGTGAAGCCACAGACCTTCGTAGTGAGTGTTACAGCTCTTGAAGCTGGCGCATCCGGAGTTGTTTGTTCCTCCTGGTGGGTTTGTGGTCTCAGTGACTTCAGGAATGAAGCCGCAGACCTCCGCAGTGAGTGTTACAGCTCATAAAGATAGTGCAGACCCAAAGAGTGAGCAGCAGCAAGATTTACTGTGAAGAGTGAAAGAACAAAGATTCCAGAGAGTGGAAGGGTACCAGAGGGGGTTGCCTCTGCTGGCTGGGGTG